ATCAAATCCCACAAGGGATTCGCAAAGGAGACAGTACGCAGCTCATCAACCATATCAACTCCCAAAAAAAACACACACACAAGCAAAAACGAAACAAATAAATGAAATGAACTTCTTTGCTACCTTCCAACCGAGAGAGACCGAGTACTCGAACTTGTTGACGGCGTAGCGAACCCACGTCGACAGAGAAGCCATTGCAATTTTTGATTTTTAGAAATTTTGCAGGATTTGGTCCCCCTTCTTCTTCCTCCTCCCCCTTCTCTGAAATTAAAAAAACCCTTGGTAATGAACTCGACTCTCTGGTGAGCGAAATTTTGTCGTGTTAGATTCTAGTCCAGTCGGAGGCGAAGCGTTTGGGCTTTTCTTTGGGCCTTGTTTAGGCGCTAGTTTCGGCTCAATACTGCCTACAGTCCATTTTGTTAGGAGTGAAAACGAATAATATAAGAATTGAATTTGATACTATCACGGTGGTAATTTGCAAATATGGATACGAATACAGTATAATTCGACAAGGGAATTTATGATTCAGATATTCCAAAATCAAATAAGAATAAAGGTTGTATAAGAGAAATGTATATGGATGCGTGTGCGCGCACATGCATTTCATGAATGAGAGAACAGAGCATTACAGTGTTTGATATATCTATACATCTAAGAATAAACCTATGTATCGTCAAAATTGACATATCATCTATTAATCTAACGGTGAGAATTATTTTAATTTTATGTCCAATACATATATTTGATATGAACTCGAATTTACTCATATATTGTATTTTGTGTCGGCGTTCTACCAGCTATAAATATTAAGTATTTATATTTTCATCGTGTCGAATATGTTTGTTGGATATCGATGTTCATTTTGCATCTGGTCTTGAAACCTTTACACACTTCATTCTTAACGTCACTTATGCTCAGTTTTCTCTCTCATTCCTTGCCGATAACGATGTTCATTTTGCATCTGGTCTTGAAACCTTTACACACTTCATTCTTAACGTCACTTATGCTCAGTTTTCTCTCTCATTCCTTGCCCAAAGTTCTCGCCTGCATTTGGTAGCTATTTTCATAATACAAGATTCGTCATTTGATGTTTTTAGTTTTTGTAACTGAGTGAGAAGGAAGAAATTTGAGATAGAAAACTATCATAAACTATAAATATGATGTAAATACTCCTTGCTATAGTTTTTAGGAGGTATTTTAGCTCAATGTGGCACAGTTGGAGGGCAAGTTTGCAAACATCTAGATCTGGGGGCTAAATCTGCAAACATGGATGATTTCAGAGGTACACAATTAAAACCCCCAAAATACCAAGTATGCCGGGCTACGGGGCTCCGCAATTCTGTAGGCCCAGCCCAAACTGACATTTTAATATCATCTGAAATAAGTCCTCTCCTCGATTTTCTCTCCACTCCCGTTTCCTCCCCCCAAAATCTCCCGAAACCCTAACCCTAGAAATCGACCCTAGAAATCGGCCATGGTGTGCATCCGCAAGGCGACGATGGACGATCTCCTCGCGATGCAAGCCTGCAACCTCCTCTGCCTCCCGGAGAACTACCAGATGAAGTACTACTTCTACCACATCCTCTCATGGCCGCAGCTCCTCTTCGTTGGAGGAGGAGTCGTCGGAGCCCTGCCATGGCCACATCACCTCGCTCGCCGTCCTCCGATCGCACCGCAAGCTCGGCCTGGCCACGAAGCTCATGACGGCGGCGCAGAACGCCATGGAAGGGGTTTTTGGTGCTGAGTATGTGTCGCTTCACGTGAGGAGGAGCAACAGGTGCTTGTTATTTTGAGCTATTACAGGCTTTAACACCCCAAAGTTGCAGTCTTTTAACTTTGATACCCCTGAAGTTTTATTTTGACAAATTGATACCATAAAGTTTTAATTGTGTTACTTTCCTCCGAAACCCCGAGAAACTGAGTTTTGGTAAGAAATTTCTCATATACTTTTCTATGTTGATATTCTTGAACAAAGTTAGCGTAAACTTTCATGCAGTTTGTCGTATCAATTGTGAAAATGGAATTTCAGGGCATCAAAGTGACAAAAAAAATAAAAAGAGTATCTTTGGGGCATTAAAGTAAAATACTCATAGGCTTTAACAAAGTAAAATGATAAAAACATTGCCTTACTTCTCGAAATCTATATACTTGCATATTTACAGTTATGGATATTAATGACGTTAAAACAGGGCGGCATTCAATTTGTATGCTAATACGCTTGGTTACAAGATCAATGATGTGGAGGCGAAGTATTATGCGGATGGGGAGGATGCGTATGATATGAGGAAGCAGCTGAGGGGAAAGGAGATCAGGATGGAGCAGCTTGGGCACGGGCATGGCCATGGCCATCATCATCATCATCATCATCATGGAGGTGGGTGTTGCTCCGGGGAGGCTGTGAAGACGGGCGGAGAGCAGAAGTCACGATCTTGAGGTTTGTTTTTCATGGGTTTCTGGGTATGGACAATTATGTCATATGTTATGGATATTTTGTTGCTATAGCAGATGTTATTTTCTTTGTTATGTAGCTGTATTGTGCAATGGCGAAACATGTTGCTTTAAGAAGCTTGAGATTTTGTCTTGATAAGATTGATTATTGAGGGGTTTTGGTTTGATTAGTGGTTTTGTTATGGTTTGTTTATTATAGAAAATTGGTGGGTTTCCATATGTAGGCTATTAATGTGACTTATGGCTGGTGTTTGGCTGCATTATTGATATCTTTACTAGGGGTATTATGATAGAAAAACAAAAGTCAGGAACTTGATAATATAGGATACTGTTTTGTTGGTGTTGCTCTTGTGGCCGCTGCTCACAGAAATTTGTTTTCTTTTTATCTTCTCAAACTTCTTTAAGTCGACCCACTGATAGTGTCTTTGAGTTGCAAATGATTGTTCCTTCAGTTGAGATATAGAATCGCCTATGTATCTGAACACGACTTTTTCGCCCTTGGTTTTATCTTTTATGGATACTTGTATATACATGGTATATTAATAATGTTTGTAATCATTATTTCGTTTGCTGTTATAATTATCAAATGTCAACTGGTGTTTATGTTATTTTCGGTGTAGTCTGTATTTTTTTCAATAACTGCACTGCATAATATTGTTACTCTTCATAAATGGTTGAGGCAAATGCTTGTGGCACTTTTATGAGTCAGGTTGGAAGACAAGTTTCATTTTAATTGCTTGTATGTTTATGGGTTTTGAAAATGTCACGTGCTACTTTGGTATTCTATTATGTGTTGACTGGTTGCTGCGGATGTGTGGAAACTCAATTACTGTCTTATATCTAATTATCAATACGACTATGTTGGGATAACGTCATAAGTGATTTGGCTTACTCATGCTTTTATTGGTTTTGGTGGTCAGATAAATGATGTTTGGCCTGTAGATTGATGGTGGATATGTGTATCTTATTCACTTCTCTAGGTTTTGTTCTGTGAATGCTCTACGTTTTGTTCAGTGAATGATGGAAAAACTTCACACATGCCAAATAACTATCTTATTTCCTTGTTTTGTCTAGTTTTATCTGCCTTTCCTTCTTTTATATAGATAGGAAATAGGAAATAATGTGTATAGACTGGCAGCTTGTTTTGCTAAATTAGGTGCCCAGAAATAATGTACATATACATGTTATTCTTTCTGTGTGTGTGTGTACACACACGTGTGTATACACGCGCGCGTGGGTGTTTGTGCTTGTTTGTGTATGCATGTGTGTGCTCTCTGTTATTTGATGTTATTTCTTCAAAGAGGAATTAGTAGGTAAGGTCCAAAGATTTTATAAATTAGGGCCTCTATTACTTGATATTATTTCTTCAGATAGCCAAATTTTCCTATATTTCATCCCTTTCTTCCTTGTGTGAGTTTTCTTCTACACTAGCATTGATTGCTAAATGCCTCGTTGTCATGTCTATCGCATCTAGACCATTTATTCATGAAGTCAACTTGTTAGACAGTTGAGGCATTTAAGGCTATGATTTATAGTGGATGGACTTTGCAATCTTATGCTGCAATTACGTCTACATAGTTGCTTCTTCTTCTGAGTCTTTCGTGTGTCCAACCTTGCCCTCCTTATTTCTGGTCAAGCAATTTGTTGAAGCCCACTTGGTACGTCAGATTCTCGGAATTTAACGTCTAGGACTAGTTTCTCTGTCATCTTTGAGTTGTAGTGGAAAATTATTTTTTAGAAGTTTTAGACATCAATTAAGCTGATCTCCTGTTTATCATGACTGTACTCGAGGAGAATTCAAGTCTCCAGGCTGTGAGATCAACTCAACTCCATTTCAACGAGGCTAGTAGGTAAGGTATGCTTAATGTCAGATTTTTCAGCAATCCTTAACTAGTAAATATTGCATCTCGATTGTGTAATGGATATGCTTTATGATGACCCTGATATTTATTAATCGTAATGTGTGGGGGTGAATTTGCTGCTTCTTCTTGTTTCCATGGTCAGTTAGAACTTACCTGAGACCCACTGTTGTAAATAGCGGCCGACAGCGGCACTATTTCGGCGCAAATAGTGGTAGTGCACAGCTTACTGCTACGATTTCATTGATTGCGGTGAACAATAGCGCTTGTGAGCGCTTTTCGCTTGCTAAAGCGCTTGAAAGTACAAAATAGCGGTAAATAGCGAGAAATAGTGCGCACTTGTCTATGCTTGAAAGCTTCATTTTTATGTCTGGTTTCATATAGTAAATACAATTATGTTGCTACTAATCAATGTTTTTCTATTGTTAAGAATTTTCTATTAGCAACTTGAAAATAAAAAAATGGGTCAAATAGCAGTCTTTTTGATAAACATGAACGCTTTTTCATTTTGTATGGTACTTTTGTTAATATTATGTGATTGTTATACATCTATTTCATGCTTAGGATCTCTATAAATCATTAAATATGCATTTGTAGAATTTTTATTTTTTTCTTTATTTTTTTTGAATATTTATACATATTTATATTAGGCCACTATTTGACTTTGCGTTGTTTTTCGTTATAGCCCTAAATAGCTTTAGTGGTGTTTCACCGCTGCGAGGCTATTTGCTATCGATAACCTTACTTAGAACTCCTGCGAATTAACTTGTGGAAATTAACTTTTTTTCATCTCAAATGTTCTACTGTACATTTCTTCATGATCTCTTAACTTTTAGTTCTGAAGTTCAGACTTCAAATAGCTTGAACTTTTATATACTACACGATTTATCACTCAAATTGACTGTAAGTTTCCAAACGGCTAGAATTTGATTCATCCATTGTAAAATTGCAATCACTTGATATGTACGACTCCCTCAATGTCAAAGGTCATCACTCTGTATATAATTGTTAGATGTCCTTTACCTTTACTGTTGAAAGCTACCATTGAGCTGAGTCAAGGTCAGTTAACACAAATGATTTTCCATAAATTTGTAGTCTCCTCCAAGGACAGGACATCTGCAGACAAATTAGGACCCACCTTTCAGTATATGCATATATAGAGGAGGCAACCGAGTGAAAGGTCAAAAAGATAATAACCAGAAACTAGAGAAATGGAAAGGATCATTTTTTGCTGCAGCTGGTACTGGTACCAGAAACAACTGTAAATGCAGCTGCATCCACCGATATTTCACTAGCGGTGTGTCAAGATTCCTGCAGCAACATTAGCATTCCCTACCCTTTTGGTATTGGCACTGGTTGCTTCTGTGCAGGCTTTGAGATCCAATGTAAGGAGGTTGATCAGAAGCTGAAGGCTTTCTATGGTGGCAACACCAGCTCCCTTGCTGTCATTGACATCTCACTGTTAGAAGGCCAAGCACGAGTGCTCAACCAACTGTCCTATGATTATTACAACAAGTCTGGCCGTATGGACTATTCGAGCACATATATGGATTTGAGAGGCTCCCTGTTCACGACTCCACCACCCTGAACAAATTCACTGCCATGGCTGTGACACCCTTGCATACATAGTAGGAGACAATGGAAATTTCTATGCAAGTGGGTGTGTATCCATCTGTAACAGTGATGATAAGATCACTAATGGCTCATGCAGGGGCACAGGCTGTTGCCAGACTTCCATTCCAGATGGCCTTGTCTTCTTCAACTCTACATTTTTCTAACTAATTATCACCGTAGATATGTTCCTAAATACATCCTTTCAGCTATGTCTTTGTAGCAGATAAGGATTGGTTCACTTTAATTTCTTCGGATTTGGTGGATTGGAATTTTCTCCAGAAATACAAGGACGGAGTCCCTCTGGTGATAGACTGGGTAGTCGGAGGTGAGAAATGCGATACAGCAGTGCACACTACCTCTTACGTGTGCGCAACAGCAGCATATGTGTAAACTCTTACTCTGGTATCAGTTACTTTTTCAACTGCTCTAAAAATTATGAAGGAAACCCCTACCTTAAAGAGGGATGCCGAGGTACGTTTCCTCTATATTCTCAAACTTCACCTTCATTATCTTTTATTTTAATGTTGAATTGCTTAAACACAGAAGGGAGCTAGTCATGCCCTTCTGGTTAGCACAGCAGTGACCCTAAAAACATCGAGTGCAACCCAAATCCTCATCCAGGAAGACTTCCGCTATGGGTGAAGTTGGCTCTAGGTAAGTGTTCATATGAACCTCTAAACAATGTAAACATAAATCTAAATGGCAAACCTCCTGTTCTCCTTCTCGTCAGTAACTTACAATTTAGGGTAAATCTCGCAAAAGCCTGATTAAGTTTTGGCCTTTGGCAAATTAACTCCCAAAAAGTTTGAAACTCTTACTAAACCCCAGAAGTTTGGGAATTATAGAAAATCCCCACAGTATTGTGACTTTTTTGCACTTAACCCCTCATACCAGTGTAAGGCCATAATTGAGTTCCCAAACAGAAAATACCACTTAAACCTTATAAACTAGTCGTTGGGGTCAAGTGAAAAAAGAACAAAATGATTTTGGGGTTCTTTCTCGAATTCATTGGCAGTTTAGTGAGAGTTCCCAAGTTTTTGGTGGTTGAATGCCAAAGGCCCAAGCTTATTGGGGATTTAGTGAAATTTATCCTGCAATTTAGGTGCTTTTGAAAAACCTGCTGCCTCTTAATGCGAAGGAGCAATTTTTCTTTCCCTCTCTCAAGAAAAGCCCTCTAATTCCCTTAGACTGAGAATGCAACCAACCAACAATTGTGACACTAAAGTATCTTGAAAGGTAAACTTGCCTTTTGAGGGATAAATATTGCGAAACAAAAGTACTTTTAATGGCAAAATATTGCCTTTGAAGGTCTCGTATAATCATATGAAAAGAACGTCACATATCTATTAGGTTGTCGTATCATCATTAGAGTTGGCAGGGACTGAACAAAACTGTTCCTCTTATCATTGAATTTACACTCATTTGCTTGTATCTGCAGCAACTGAAATTGATATTGTTTTACTTATTGTTTTCAGCTTTTGCATGTGTGTCGAGAGTGAAAGAGAAAGCTTGTTAAAGGGAAAGGAAGGTTCTTCCAGAAAAACGGAGTTCTACTGTTGTATGAAGAGATCAAGTCGAAAGATTCTAGATGCGGGGCTTTGTTCAGGATATTTGGAAAAGAAGATAAGGAAGAGGCAAAAATAATTTTGACATGAATCTAATCCTTGGGCATGGAGGACATGGGACAGTTTATAAGCGAATTTTAGAAGGAAAAGTAACCGTTGCCATGAAGAAGTCTAGGATGATTGATGAAAGCCAAAAGGAAGAATTTGTGAAAGAGATTCTACTTACATCACAAATTAAACATAAGAGTTTAGTTAAGCTTTTTTGGGGTATTGCATAGAGGTTGAAGTTCCAATATTGGTATATGAATTTCCTTCTAACGGGGCTCTTCATGATTATAACCATGGCAATAATTGCCTGCAATTTATTCCATTAGAACTTCGTCTCAGGATTGATATAGAATCCCCGCCAAAGCAGTCGCCTATTTGCACTCCTCAGCTTCGCCTCCCATCCTTCATGGTGATGATAAGTACTCTAGCATCCTAATAGATGAGAACTATGTTATGTGGCAAAAGCGTCTGATTTCGGTGCTTCAACTCGAGTAGCCTTGGATGAAAAGTTAACTGCTCATAAGGAAGAATGCATTTGGTTTCAAAGGGCCCAAAACAGAGAAGAGTCTTGCGTCCACCTTTCTCTCTATGATGAATGGAGGTCGTTTAATGCAGGTTTTTGATGCTGAGCTTAACAATGGAGCGCAAATGGATGAAGGGCAATTAGAGATGTTGCTTGAAGTTTATTACCTTGCGAAACAATGACTTAGCATGAAGGGAGAATAAAGGCCCACCATGAAAGAGGTGGTGAAGGGGCTTCAGAAGTTGAGGAAGTTCAATCAGGCATCTATGGAAGCAGCATAAAAAGCCTGAAGAATTGGAGATCTTGCTTAGAGATTTATCAAACCGCTCTGTCGGTGATGCTACTGGATATACTATAGTTTGGAGAATAGGGCAGTACTGAGCATTGAAGGCAGGCGCTGAAGCTGTGTGCTTCTCTTTAAGTCGTATAAGATTTGATGGTGGTAATTGTTAACTTGCTATATTCCGCAAAGTGAATGTAATGGACTAGTAAAGCTGTTTGTGTTTGCTGGATCTAGTGGTTGTTGTAGACTTCATGTTATCGATTATATGTTTCTGAATACTGTTGGGTCTACTGGTTGTACTAATTGTTCTAGCATTCCCAGACGACAAACTTATCGGTTTCAGTTGTACTCAGTCAATTAGACGTTAAACAGTAGATGCATTTTCTCATATTAGAAGGCTCCTTGTCATCTTTGATTGTTACTTGTCAATGACATTACTTGTTGATTATGCAGGGTCTAGTGGTCGTGGTACGTTACGTCTCGTTTGGTATTGTGAGAATAAGTGTGAACGAAATACAATTGTAACTTCTCATTCATTCATACATACTGATAGAAATGTTAAATTCCCATTTCTAATCAATTTCAACTTAATGTGGAAATTGTCGTTTTCAATGAGTTATTAATGAATTGATTTTCCCACTTAAGTAAGAATCAAAATAATAAAATAAATTCCGGATATACCTTTTTTAAATATATTCCCATCTATTTCTTTTCTCTGATCGTACCCAAACACGAGAATAGGAATGAGCATTCCATTCACACGTTAATTTCATTATTTTGGATCTTATGGTTGCAATGCTGTAGCCTTATTGCTTATATCTGAGCTATGTCTGTTGTTTGAATTATGGTTCAGGAGTGGGTTAATGCTGAAACAGAGCCCTATATTTTTTACTTTCTGACACTCCAAAGAGTTCCTCTTCATGCATGTTGCTACAAAATCGACACAATTTAGTGGCTGAGCAGACTATGGAAGTGCAAGCATTCATTTGATCTACACAAAGCTTGTTGTTTTGTTTTGTAGAGAACCGGTTTTCCCTAAAAGAAAAAGGAAAAATCAAGAGTTTTCTACCTGATGCAATAAGTTGAGAGTTTCAACTAGGCCATTTTAATGTCCTTAATTAGGACTTACTGTTAATTGGGGTTATAGAATGCCAAAGGGCATGGAAATTTCACGTAGCTAGCAAAAAAAATACCTCATAGTTTCATTCACGCAAAGAGAAAAGAACGATTTTTCTTCTTGGGATCTGAGAGGTGTAGAAGGGAGAGGAGCAAACTTCTGTTAAGGTAAGATTTTTTTTGATTCTTTTAGTCTTGGATTGATGTAGCAAACCTTTTTCAGCGATCGGCGTTGTTTCTGGCGATGCCCGACGACCTGATCACCGAACCCAAACGAACCCTTTTGGGTTCGTAAGCAGTGAACGGACAGAAGGAAGAAGAAGGTGAAAATGAAAATTTTCACATAAACCCCTAGCTATACGAAGTTTCTTTTAGATCCAACTTTGTTCTAGAAAAAAGAATAAAAACAAAGTTTGAGAAAACCCCTTAGAACCAGAGCATTAGCCAAAATAGTGTATGGATAGAATCATTGGATTAAATGTCTAGGACGCAGTAGACGGCTGTAGACACTCGCCCAACATTAAAACCTGAGGAAATGTCAACTTCCCCTTCGATGAAATACCGAGGAAATGTCTCAATAGCTAATTACGGGGGACTTTCTTTTATGAAATACGGAGGAAATATCTCAATAGCTAATTACACGAGACTATTATTTCTATGTAATTAGCAAACATAACTAAATTACATGAAACTCAGATCCCGTGCTTTTTAAAAATAAAATTTTACAAAATCGATCAACTTTCAGGTAATTTTGCTGATGTGACTAAAAAATAGTCGATTTTGCTAAGTAAATATCTTTTTGATTGATTTCACTAATTAAATGTTAAAAGTGGTCTATTTTAAAATTGTCCTTTTCAAATATTAATACATGAAGCAGATTTACACCCATAGATCCTTCATATAGATATTTGAAACTTCTAACAAACAAGGTGACCGAGATTGACAGTGAAAGGTTTGAGGTGATTGTATGTTTGTTTTTATAAACCGGTTCATCAAATAATTTTTTCTGCACATCCATTCATATTGTTCAAGATTTAACATAGAATTTTTTTGGTAGACATGATCTCTACCATTGATGCTCTAATTTCTTCATGAAATTAGTGGGTAAGCCACGAGCAATTCCTTGCATGTCCAAAGTTCTTGTTTTTCTTCTTTAGGTTCAAAAAAATTGTATTATCTATATATTTATTGATCCTATATATCTAGATCTATTTAAGCTCTCCTTTTACCTTCATGTTAATGCATATATATTTAATTTCGATGCCCATGTCTATTATATGGAGGCCCTTAAATTTGATGACAACGGTCAACTCTTCACATATGTATAGAGGGAGATTTTGCAATCGAGAATTTTCTTGGCAACCAATGTACACTTCCACCTCGTTGACAGGAGCCGCAGACGTGCATATCGAGGTTCTTGATCAAAGGGGTCCAGCTGTTGCGTTGCACAATTTATTAAATCAAGTTAAGTGTTAATCAACATAGATACATTGAAGTCCTTGCAAAAGTCACCAAGAGTTTGTTTTATGCTTATTTATGAAAGCATCGACTGGAGGGAGTCAAGATCTCCCTATGCTTACTCCATAAGAGCATCTCCAACAGCTTCTCCAAAATTTTCTCCAAAATGGGGAAGCAAAAGTCATATTCTCTAACTAATTTTTACACCAACCCCAACAGCTTCCCCATTTTGAAGAATCTATTTTTTCCTCCAAAAATTTGGAGAATGCTGCAGATTTGGGGAAGCTTCCCCATTTTTTCTCCTTCATCCCTATTTTGGGGAATGAGATGAGGAATATGTTGGGCCAAAAACCTAACTAAATTCTCCAAAAGTGAGAAATAGAGAAGCTGTTAGAGATGCTTCTCTTTCACTACATTTGGAAAGATTAATTAGCTAGCTGACAATTATAGCTCTAATATTTCCAAATGAAGAGAGCAATATTCTACACTCAGGTGGACTAGGAGTACGCATAAAGAGGCCTTGACTTGTGTCGATACTTGCATATTAATGTGCATATAAAACAAACATGTGGCTGAGATTTAACTTTCAATAAGTTTTGCATGGACAACGTTGGGCTCGTAGGCGACTCGTCAAGAACCCACATTCACGTCTATGCCCCCATTGTAATGGAATCAAGACATGTAAGTTTGAAGTCTCTTGGTTGCCAAAAGGAGTCCCAATCCCGTTGAGATCCTATCTTTGTAAAATTAAGGATAACGTTAACTATACTACAATCCTTGCACTGCTTATGAACTAAAACAAACAAACGTGTGGTCATATATATATATATATATATATATATATATATATTATATATATATATACTATATATATATATATATATTATATATATATATATATATATTAGGCAAAATGACCAGATTTATATATTTTGTAGAGGCATTGGTTGAGATGGTTGGTGTATTTTCTTTTAGTTTTGTCAGATTGGTATAAATTTTTGCACTGCCAGCGCCATATAGGCCTTAAATTTAGCATGAGTTCTGTTTCGCCGGCCAGGTCTGATGAGATTTTTTGTAAAAACCCCCTCATCAAATACAATTTTCCTGTTCCTACCCCCCCCCGCCCTCTCCTCTGCCTCCTCCTCCTCATCCTCTTCAACCTCCCCCCCTCATTTCCTCTCCTCTCCTCCTCCCAGGGCCCGGCCCTAGGCATAGGCAGGGGAAGCCTTTGCCTAGGGCCCCCAAAAAGACAAGGGCCCCCATTTTATATATATATATATATTATATATATATATATATATATATATATTAATATATATATATATATATATATATATATATATATATATATATATATATATATATATATATATATAGTATATATATATATGAGGAAGTATAGGGGGCTTTTGTGCAAATTTATTAGAGGGTTCTAATAGCATAAATACACAACAAAACCACCCCTATCTTCAACCTGTCCTCTGTATCCAGGGTCGCTCTCACATATAAAAAAAAAAGAAAACTGAAAACCCTCTCTCTCTGACCTCTCCCTTCTTCCAATCTTCGGATCTTCCTCCAGTGTCCCGTCCTTGTCGGCTTGTCCTCCTCCCTCTCGGCTCTCGCTCGCTGGTCGTCGGCCCGTCGCCATTGACCAAGCCAAGGTTAGGGTTTCACTTCTTCTCTTCTTTACTTCTATGCTCCTTTTGACAAGAGCGTGTATTGATGTAGAATTTTTGATTTATTGTAAGTTCTTAGTTCTCACTAGGGTTTAGGAAGTAGGGCTTTGTGGAATTAGGGTTTAAGAATTAGAGCTTTGTAAAATTAAAATTGAAATTGATTAGGGCCTAAATTGAAATTGAAATTGGAATTAGTTCTCACTAGATTTTATTGTTTAATTTCAAATTTCAATTTAAATATTTGATATATTTTAGTCCCTAACATGCTTTTTGGTAGGAATCCTTGATTAATTTATTTTTCTCAATATTTATTAGATTGTAGCAGATTCAGAATTAAATTTAGATATCATGCCTCCTCGAAAGTATATGTCTGGACATGATAAGCGGATAAAGAAACAAAAAATTGAAGAATTCAATCGATCTCAAGCGGGAGCACTTGAAAAATTTATTACTTGTAGTAGAAATATATATTCTAATTCAGTTCAAGATTCGGTGAATGTTGAAAATGAGCAACCTGAAAATCAAGAAAGCGAGGATTTGGTTAATGAAAATTTGAATGAGAATAGAAATTCCATTGAAGAAGGTGAAGAACATGAAGATTCTAATGAGAATAGAAATTTGAATGAGAATAGCAATGTAAATGAACATGAAGAAAATGTAAATGAACATGAAGATTTGGTACAAGAAGAAAACCTTGAAAGAAGGCCTTCAAACATAAATGACCCAGGAAATTGGAAAAATATTGATCAAAGATTGAGAGACTTACTGATTGAAAGAGGTCCCAAAAAAATGATAATCTTGATTTTCCAAAAGATTCAGAAGGCAGACATTTCTCCTCAACACATTTCATTCGTAACTTATCCAATGGTGAATATCATGATAGAAAATGGCTAATCTATTCAAATTCTTTGGACAAGGTTTTTTTGTTTTTGTTGTAAGTTGTTCAAAAATGATGCAAACAAAATTCAATTGGCAAATGATGGAGTTAGAGACTGGAGAAATCTTAGTGCCAGACTTAAAAGTCATGAAACAAGTAGTGAACACATTGTTAACATGAAGAGTTGGATTGAATTAGAGATCAGATTACGACAAAATGCGACAATCGATAAAAGTGTTGAAGAACAAATCAACAAAGAACGAGAACATTGGAGAAAAGTACTATTGAGAGTAGTTGCTGTTGTGAAAACACTTGCTAAAAATAGTTTGGCATTTCGTGGAGATAATGAGAAGCTTTATGAAGAAAATAATAGAATTTTTTTAAGTATAATAGAAATGATTGTCGAATTTGATCCAATAATGAAAGAGCATGTTCGTCGACTTCAGGAGAAAGAAATTCATTATCATTATCTTAGTCACAAAATTCAAAATGAATTTATTCTTCGAATAGCAGATGAGATCAAAAGTTTAATCATCCAAAATATTAAAGAAGCAAAGTATTTTTCTGTTATTCTTGATTGTCCTCCGGATGCAAGCCATGAAGAGCAAATGTCACTTATATTAAGATGCGTGAATATTTCAACAAGCCCAATAAAGATGGAGGAGTTCTTTTTAGGATTTTTAAAGGTGGATGATACATCAGGACGAGGAATTTTTGAAGAACTTGTAAATATTTTGCAAGAGCTTAAACTTGATATTGGTGATGTAAGAGGACAAGAGTATGATAATGGTTCTAATATGAAAGGAAAACATAAAGGTGTACAAAGAAGATTATTAGAGATAAATCCTAGAGCATTCTACACACCTTGTGGTTAAAGCTTCTTGATGCTTTATAAATAAGCACAATTCATACCTACATTAAATGGGCATCGCCTTGCATTTTGACGCTGCAAGAAAGTTATCAAATTTTTTAAAAAATGTTGCCAATCAAGCTTCCTCCAATAAATTTTTTCGATGAGATAGTCATAGCCAATTCCCCATTTCAAATCTCTCTTGTGACATATGTTGACCGTAGATAAGATTTGATGAGCTTCAACTTTGGAAAAGCTTCTCTCGGGCCGATGCAACTGTAACTGCGTATCTGTCAACTAAATACTCCTATAAGCCAAATCCAAGCATTTGGAAAGAACCAATTTAGCCTTTCATAAAATTCAAATAGCTTTCAATTGCTTTTTTTGTTCCTCTTGGAATGCTTCTCTTAAGATTTGGGTTTCCTGAAAATTAATTCTGTCCCATTAATATCAACATTTTTGTCATGCTTAGGAGTATCTTCAAGGCTTAAGAACATGAACACTCAAAACTTCATTATCTGGGCAGACTTCAACCTCTCCAAATTAACACAAGAAACAAAAGATTCATCATACTGTTGAAACTGTTCAAATCTACTCTTGAGTGCAAGAAAGAGCCTTGATCACGAAATATACATGAAGCTAATTGACTCTAAAGCTCAGCTGTCATTGCCATCTCTTTAACTAGCATTTTCATTCAAGAAAGTTTCTTTCTACGAAATGATGCGACCGTTCACGAAAAATGGGTTCAACTTTAATTCTAACTGCAATTTCTTTAGCCCGTCAACGCATAGCTGCTTCAACAAAAAATAGCCATTTTTCCTGCTGTAGCTTTCAAAAAAGAAAGTGAGGCCAATCGTTAAAAGGTCTATAGCAACATCAATCTGCATATCCTCTGATTGCATGATTTTAACTTATTTTTTTTTTTGTTAATAAGCTACCCCCCCCCCGCCCTCCCTCAAAAATATCAAAACCAAATAACCATACCAAGTAAAGAATTCAAAATTCCTCAATTTCATATTGTTGCTAAGCACTCAGCATCACTGGTTTTGTCTGGGATGCTTCACTAGAACTTGCCCTAAAGTAAATCAAAGCATCTCTTATATCTGGAGCTTGGAAATCTTATTGCTTTAACCACTTTGCAACTTGACCTTCCCCGACGAGTTTGTGATGGTGGCTTAAGTGGTAACTTTAACACTTATCTGTAAGAACTTTCCACCGCTTTGGTAGAAGATGGCAAACAATGAACGTATATGTGCTCTGCATCCACTCAAAAAAAGATGAAGCTTAGCCGACCAAGAGTTTACCATATATCACAAACGTGCAAGGTTTAAGACTATGACAACCACAAGGTGTGAGAATGCTCTATGTGGTTTGCATATTGTTTGTGATTTAGTTCGAGTTATTGTTCGTGTTGCCCTAGAAAGCTTCCGCCGCACACAACAATTGGTATCAGAGCTAGATCGACAACATGGGAGATGCAAGCACATCAGGTTCGTCTCTGACAAAGGCGATACAGAGTCTGAGCATCAATAACACGAAGATTGATGTTCCGAAGTTCGATGGTAAGATCAATTTTGGATTGTGGAGGTGTCAGGTGATGGATGCTTTGGATGCACAGAATTTGGAGGAGACTCTTGAGTTAAAAGAGAAACCCGCTGAGTTGGAGGATAAGGTTTGGAGAAAGATGAACAGTAGAGCTTGTGGTGTTATTAGGTCATGCTTGACGCCGGATCTTATTTATGATGTTATGAACGAGATGTCGGCGAAGAAGATGTGGGAAACACTTAATGAGAAATATCTTACGAAGAGCATTGAAAATCGGCTTCACTTGAAGAAGAGATTTTACCAGTTCAAGATGAAGAGAGGGGTTTCCATCAGGGAGCATGTCAACAATTTCACTAAGCTACTTTCAGATATGGCCAATGTTGATATTATAGTTGAGGATGAAGACAACGCGATGCTACTTTTGTGTTCGTTGCCTGAAGATGATTATGGTACGTTCGTTCTCACTATGATCAATGGAAGAACTACAGTTAGCTACAAGGAGGTGACCTCAGCTTTGGTGAACTATGAGTTGAGGAAGAGTGATGGTGAACCCTCCGAGAAGACATCGGGAGATGTGTTAGCAGTTCGAGGCCGAGATCCAAACCGTCGTCAGTTCAACCGCTCAAAGTCAAAGAATAGGAGTGCCTATAAGAGTGTTGGTAGAAATCAATGTCGGTATTGTAAAGAAGAAGGACATTGGAAGATTGACTGCCCAAAGTGGAAAGAAAAAGCCGGAAAGAATAAGGGGAAAGCTGCACAAGCTTCAGAAGTGAATGTTGCAAAAGCTATTGGTGAGCATTCAGATTCAGATTCTTCAGGCTATTCATGCCCTGCTTTACCGTCGGTTTGCTATGCGGATTCCACGGAGTGGATGATGGATTCGGGAGCTACATATCACATCTGCCCTAAGAGGGAGTGGTTTTCTAGCTTTGAGGAGCTGGAAAGAGGGGATGTCGTGCTTATGGGTAATGATCACGTATGCCCTATTGGTGGTATTGGTTCAGTCCGGATCAGGATGCATGATGGTGTAGTGAGGGAATTGAAGGAAGTGAGGTTCGTGCCGCAGTTGACGAAGAACATCATTTCTCTTGGGACTTTGGAGGCAGCAGGATATCGAGTGATCTTAGAGGATGCTACAGTGAAGGTCACGAAGGGTTCTATGGTGGTGATGCGAGGTGTCAGGGAAAACTACCTATACTACTTGAAGGGCAAGACAGTTACAGGGGGTCTGGCAGCTTCTATCACTACAGAGGAGGACACTACCACCTTATGGCACATGAGACTTGGACACACAGGAGATAAGTCCCTACAGTCATTGGCTAAACAGGGGCTATTGAAAGGTGCTAAGACCTGCAAGATGGAATTGTGTGAGCATTGTGTACTTGGGAAGAAGACTAGAGTGAAGTTCGGCACCGCTGTTCATAACACCCAAGGTACATTGGATTATATTCACACGGACGTTTGGGGTCCTTCCAAGAACACATCTCTTGGTGGGGCCAACTATTTTGTCACTTTCATTGATGATTATTCCAGGAGGAATTGGGTATACCCGATGAAGCATAAACATCAGGTCCTGGATATTTTTGTGGAGTGGAAAAAGAAAGTGGAGCTGCAGACAGGTAGAAAGGTGAAGACTCTACGTTCAGATAACGGTGGAGAGTACAAGAGTGATCCGTTTCTGCAGTTTTGCCGGGATCACGGCATTAGAAGACACTTCACAGTTCGAGAGACACCGCAACAGAACGGGGTGGCTGAGAGATTGAACCGTACCTTGCTGGAGAAGGTGCGGTGTATGATGACGCAGAGTGGATTGCCTAGATCTTTTTGGGCCGAGGCGTTGGTTTATGCGAGCCATCTTGTGAACAGGTTGCCGTGCACTGCGATAGACGGGAAGACTCCTTTGGAGCGTTGGTTTGGTTCGGAGGCTAGTGACTATGAGTCGCTTCGGATATTCGGGTGTCCAGCTTATTATCATGTCAGTGATGGTAAATTAAATCCGAGAGCGAGGAAAGCAGTCTTTGTGGGATTTAGAGATGGAGTCAAAGGCTTCAAGTTATGGGATCCACAGGACAAGAAGATAGTTATTAGCAGAGATGTCACATTTGACGAGGCGTACATGATGAGGCCTCGAACCCCTCAGCAGGTGGAGGGAGACCAGACAGGAGAGATATCGCAGCAGGTGGAGGATGATGTGACTCCACCCACTCCAGAGAACACTGTATCCATTGAGGCTCCTACAGAGGTGACACTGGGAGGAGATGAGATGACAGATGGGCAGATACAGGATACAGTAGATCATGGGACTCAGGAACAGGGTCATGTTCAGAGGACCATTGCAGCAGATAGACCGAGGAGAGAGATTCGTCGGCCAGCTAGGTATAATGATGTCATGGTCGCATATGCATTATCAGTGGAGGTCGTTGATGATATGGTTCCAGCCACATTCAGGGAGGCAGAGTCTAGCCCCGATTCGATCAGGTGGAGGGAAGCTATGGAGGAGGAGATGCGGTCTCTTCAGAAGAACGACACTTGGACACTTGCACATCTACCTAAGGGTAAGAAAGCTATTGGTTGCAAGTGGGTATATGCGAAGAAGGAGGGATCTTCTATTGGGGACATTCGGTTCAAAGCCAGATTAGTTGCCAAGGGATATGCACAGCTTGAGGGCATTGATTACAACGAGGTATTTTCACCCGTTGTGAAGCATTCGTCGATTCGGATTTTATTGGCGTTGGTGGCACAGTTGGATTTGGATTTGGTCCAGATGGATGTGAAGACAGCCTTTCTACACGGTGATTTAGATGAGGAGATCTACATGACACAACCACAGGGTTTCAAAGCTGCAGGAAAGGAAAATTTGGTTTGTAAGCTGAAGAAGTCTCTTTATGGTTTGAAGCAGTCACCAAGACAGTGGTAGATCTTAGAGGACGCTACAGTGAAGGTCACGAAGGGTTCTATGGTGGTGATGCGAGGTGTCAGGGAAAACAACCTATACTACTTGAAGGGCAAGACAGTTACAGGGGGTCTGGCAGCTTCTATCACTACAGAGGAGGACACTACCACCTTATGGCACCTGAGACTTGGACACACAGGAGATAAGTCCCTACAGTCATTGGCTAAACAGGGGCTATTGAAAGGTGCTAAGACCTGCAAGATGGAATTGTGTGAGCATTGTGTACTTGGGAAGAAGACTAGAGTGAAGTTCGGCACCGCTGTTCATAACACCCAAGGTACATTGGTGTTCATAACACCCGAGGTACATTAGATTATATTCACACAGATGTTTGGGGTCCTTCCAAGAACACATCTCTTGGTGGGGCCAACTATTTATCACTTTCATTGATGATTATTCCAGGAGGAATTGGGTATACCCGATGAAGCATAAACATCAGGTCCTGGATATTTTTGTGGAGTGGAAGAAGAAAGTGGAGCTGCAGACAGGTAGAAAGGTGAAGACTCTACGTTCAGATAACGGTGGAG